AATTCATTTTCCTTACTTCGCGTCTCTGCTCAGCGCGTACAACACTGACAGCACCCCACAATATTTCGTTACCACTCGCGACATTCGCCCCGACACCATTCCCATCTCTGTTCACGATGCGATCCAACCGCACGGTTTGGTTGATACCCCACGTTCCGGAGCTCTGCCAAACGATGGTATTAGGCTCGTCCCGCACCCCATTTTCCCACGTTAACATCTACCACCGTCGTTTCGCTATATGGTCTTCGCTCATTGTCTCGATAGTACAATCCTCGCTCGCTCACTCAATAGCACTCAGATAGAGCAGAAATCTTTAGTTCGCACTCATACCTAATCACTGGGGGATAATTATTTTTCGACACGGAGAAACAAATTGTTCGTACAATTAAAGGCAGCTTCAAACAAGCATACATAGTACAATTACAAAGAGCAAGCTTCATCGTTCTAGAAGCTTTCATGCCTCGAAGGGTCCATTTTACTTAGAGAAAGCGGAGTAGCCACAGTCAGTGGAGAGCACTCCGGACGTCTCGTAGTCGGCGGACTTGCCGTCCAGGAAGCCCTGGCCGTTGTCGCCGTCGGCAGAGAAGGGAGTGCGCAGCAGCCGCGACAGCATGGCGTAGTCAATGGCACGCTCGGCGCGGCCCTCGCGGTACGTCTGTCCCATGATGCCGTGCACCGACGGGGAGCGCGACACGTGCTTGAAGTTGACGTTCAGGTGCACCTGCGCGTCGTCGGGCGTTTGCAGCAGCGGGTGCGCGGGCCGCAGCTTAATGTCCATGGCCAGCTTGTCGCCGATGCGCAGCGAGTACGCGTCCACGTCGAAGAATCCGCCGCCCTCCTGCTCGTACCCCTTGAACACAAACGCCAGCCCGCCGTCCAGGTTGTACGACTCGCCGGGCTGCAAGAACAGACAGAGATGAAGGAACGAAGGGTTAGTGCAAGGAACAAGATTTAGAGGAATACGAAGAGCGAGAATCGAGATGGGACAAGGGACAAAGCAAGCTCGCTGACCTCGAGGGAGGGGAGGACGCGGCCGTCGAACTCGATGAGCGAGAGGAAGCCGTTGTCGCGCTTGTCCGACTTGCCGTTGCGCGCCGCCAGGCGGAAAGAGTGCTCCACACCGTCAACGCTCCACACGAAGCCCAGCTCGCGGATCCACGTGCGCACCGCCAGCCCGTTGCGCAGCAGGGATGCGCCAATGGTGCGCGTGTCATAGTACCCGCGCATCTTCATGTTCACGTGCAGGCTCGAGTCCGTCAGCAGGCAGTACGACTTCTCCGGCGCGCCGTTGAACTCGAACCGCGTGCCGTGCGCGCCGCGGAAGTGCGGGTCGTGCTTCGTGTACGGGCACGGGCGGCCCAGAGTCGACGCGTTCGCATACGTGCGCGTCACACCGCCGACCACCACCGTGCGCGTCTCGCAAGTGGGCTGCGCGTCCGTGGGCTTGTACAGGTAGCAGATACCGCAGTTGGAGCACGAGAGCGACGACGGGATATAGTGCTGCCAGAAGGAGCACGCGGTCGAGTTGGTGCACGCCGCGCAGCACTGCCGGCGCAGAACGGCGTTGCCGAAGCACCGGGGAGTCAAGTTAGTGCCGCAGCGCCCGCCGTTGGGGACGAAGTAGCGACCATTCAGACCGCTGTTGTCCGTGCAGTTGTCCGTGCACGGAATGTCCAGAGGAGCCGTGCACGTCGTCACGCCTGTCCCAGGGTACTTGCCGTCATTCCACACAACTGTTGGGAACAGACACAGCGGCGTAAGATTGATGCAAAACAACCAAAAGCGCAGGCAGACAGGAAAACAAGCGCAACGAAGACATACAAAAGCGGACCAACGTACTCGAAGAGGAGGTTGTGGTCGAGCTGGTGGTGGTCGTCGTGGTAGTTGTCGTCGTGGAAGTGGCCGACTGCGCAGTCGTGTACGCCTTGTAAGCAGTCGTGTAGTCATCGTTGGCCTTGGAAGCCCACTGGTAAGCCTGGGTCTCCGCGGCCTTAGCGTCGTCCACCTTCTTTTTCGCATCCGCAACAGCCTGATCCGCATCCGACAGCTTCAGCTCCGCATCAATCTGCTTCTTCTGGGCGTTCGCAACGTTGGCCGTCTTCTCCACCAGCACCGCGTCGGCATCAGCCTTAGCCTGCAGCATCAAGTTGTACGCGTCGATGGCATTCTTGCCATCATTACGAGCTTTGTCGAGGTTGGCTTGCGCGGTGTTCACGGCCGTCTGGGCCGACTTAATAACACCGTCCTGCTTCGTCTTAGCTGCACCCGTGAGGCTGGCGCCCTTCTTCGTCTCGGCAGCGAGTGTGTTCTTGGCTTTGTCGAGCGCCGCCTGCTTGTCATCAATGGACTTCTGTGCCGCGTCCCTAGCAGGCTTGACCTTAGCGACGCTCTTAACGGCGCTGGCAACATTCGTCGACGCAATATTCTTAGCCGTCACCGCGTTGTCCACATCCTTCTTGGCGGCGATTACGGCTGCGTTGGCTACGTCGTCGGCCTTCTGGGCTTCATCAGCCGCCAGCTCAGCGTTAATACGCTCCTGGGTCTTCTGGGAGGCCTGCTGCTGCATCGCAAGGGACTTCTGCTTCAGAGTCTGAACATCAGCGTTTGTGGGAGCGACATTCGTCGTCGACGTGCTTGTAACCCTCTTGACGGCAAGGGCCCCGCCACTAAGAAGTAAGACCACCAGAGACACCAAGAGAAGTTTGGGACCCATAGTGATGCGATGGAGGACCTTGAATTTTGTTCGAACGGAAAAGATAACTATTAGTGCTCTGGACAACCGTATACTACTACTGCTAGACTACCTTGCTTGATTGGGTGGGGTCGATCTGAAAATGACGAAGATGGGAAAGGACTAAAACTAAAGTTGTTTGGATGGCAGGGCTGTGCTTGCTTGCTTGCTCCCTGTTGTGTCGGAGCACCTGAGATGTCCTGCGTCTCGAACGCCCTCCCTAAGTCGCTGCTGTTTGGGACGTTGAAGGGTGTGGGTGGGGTGTGGCGTTCCAACAACCTCTCTGTTGCGTTGCTGGGCGAGTATGCCAGATTCGTTTGGAAGAGGGATGCTGGGCAGGCCAGGGGGTGATCAGTTTCAAAACATCCTGGAACTCCTTGACAACCAGGAGCAGAACGTTTCACGCATATGTTTTATTTTCTTGTAATTTTAGATTTGGCGTTCTCTTGAAAGCCGAATATTGTGTCAAGCATCGTCATTTAGCTGAAGACTGTATCTTGAGGGGCCCGATCAGCGGGAATGATATAATCTGTGCATCCTGTCAACTCCGTAATGCTTAATGTTATGGGGTTTTTAAGGGTAAAAGTCCTTTGAAACTATTTGACAGGAGAATTCTGCAGAGCCTGTTGTCGTTGCTGCTGGCTGAACACGAATTTTCTAAAACCCACCTGACCCGCAGAGGACCAACTATCCAGATCGTTCGTTCTGTCTATGATAGAAATTGTGTGGCATGATGAAGCAGCCTTCACCAGCCCCGCTAGATTCACAATCAACAAAGCCCAGAGAGAATTCTCAAGGATCTTGCGGGAAGTGTGCAGATGGAGATCCAAACGGCTTTTCAGGTGAGCCCAGCAATCACTTCATTCAGGAGTAAACAACATTAGATTGTCGCTTCGTTGTTCTGTTCACTGGTTTGTTTTTTGTCGGAAAAATATCGCCCTACTCGTTCCATCACCCTTTTCAGCAATGCTGTGTCGCGTCTGTTGGTAACATTGGGATCAGTCGTTTCGAGTCACTTGTTACATCTTTGGTTTTTGAGTTGTAACATCACCAGACCATAAACAAGAACAGGGTTGTACCCACACCTCATCAGAGGTTACGTCGTTATGTCGTCATCTCTGCTGACGTTCCTCGCTGGTAGTTGTGCTCTCTCAGGTTTGCACCTATGGTTTCGCGACTTCAGACTAGGCTCCTCTTGGAGGTGTAAACATTGGTGATTGCGAATCTCGTCACGTGCCTCGTGAAATTCGTTAATCCTACCTTGGCCATGGACTACGCTTCCCCCATCAGCTTTCCCATCTCGGTTCTCTCCTGGATTCCTCTGTTCAGACTGGGTGCTGAGCTGGCGCGTTTCTTTCCTCCCTTGCTCACCACGACTGCCAACCAGTATTGACCTGACAGGATTCGTTACCTCAGGGGGGTCTCCAGCCGCCCGGAACCCGGACACATCCTCTCTGCCAATCGCCAAACCCGCGCGCTCATCACCCGCAATGCACCATCTGCCATAATCCATTTCGCCAGTCTCGTCCCCTCCCCACACCAACTGCCCAGGCACCGCTTTCAACCCAAACCCCCTTGTCTACCTTGCCCACGCAACGCGACCCGATTCCCGCGCACAATGCCCATCCCTCCCCCTTCACCCCTCCCCACTGTCCCCGCATCACCTTCCGCAGGTGGAAAATCCTCCAAACACCTTCCCTCGAGGTCAGGATGATGAAATCACAACCACTCCACCTCACTCGACCCCACTCGAGCCCACTCCACTCCATTCGTTTTTGGGTGGACTCAGCGACACGCTGAAGTGCTGCAAAAAGACAGATTTCCTTCACACCTAACAGCTCCAGGCTCCAAGCATCTGTCCTCGCGGCTGATGACTCGTCCCTCGTCCACTTCGGGTGCATAGCATACTGAAGTAGGTCCTCTTCGCCCTAGCAGTCTCCATTGCTGGTCGCATACGGCGAAGTCCCAGCTCTGTGAATAAGAGGCTAAAATCCGCGGGTACCTTACAAGCTTGTGTTGTTGTAACTGTACGTGTATCCTAATTCCCTCACCGTCGATCAATTATCGTAACCTTTCAGTGTTACGCGAACTAGGTCAGAAGCATTTCCTATTTCCGCCTTCACTCGTTTCGTTCGCGGTTAGCCCGCCAAGTCTTGGAACTTCCACAGATTGTAGACTGCAGGCGGATTGTAGCGAACATATTAGCGAAACTCGAATAGAAAACTAGATACTAGATTAAGCCCTCATGTTGCGTCCCGCGAGGGCCGGTATGGCCCTTGGCTGTCTAATCGCGTTGCTACTCGTCCCGTCGCTTGTCTCGGGAGCTGCCATGCCCTCGCAAGGTGGCGACGCGTCGCAGCAAGCGCAACAGATGGCAGACGATGTAGCTAAGGCGCTACAGGCCAGAATAGATCAACTAAACGCCGCTCTCGCGAAAATCACTGCGGAGAAGCTGCAGGTTCAGAAAACCGTCGCGCAGCTAGCCGAGGTCGTGAAGAACAAGGTGGCTGCTTTGACCCAGGCGAAAGACGCGGCAACTGCTGCGACGAAGGCGAAAATCGCCGCAATCGCGAGCGCGAATGCGAAAGCTTCGGAGCTCGCGAAAAACGCAGACATTTTGAAAAAGGCGAAAGCTGCGGCAGACGCGGCCGGCAAGACGACGGCCAAGGCGCAATCAGCGCTCGAGAGCGCGAAAAAGAAGGCGGCAAGCTCGCCGACGAAAGCTAACACGGACGCGTTGGCGACGGCACAGAAGGACTACGATGCGAAGTTCGCAGCGTCGCAAACGGCGCTCGCGAGCCTCGCGTCTGCTAATTCCGCCTACTCCACAACCGCCGCAGATAAAGCTGCAGCGGATAAGGCTGCGGCGGATGCGACATCGAGGGAGAAGGTCTCGCTGAAGCAGGCTTCCGTTGCGGAGGCAGATCTTAACGACGCGAATAAGCAGAAGAGCTCAGCGGACAAGCTCGAAGCGGAGAAAGAGGCGGCGGAAAAGGCGGCGACGTCCATGGCGTCGGCAGCGCGAATCGCGGCGGATAGGGCGGCGTCGTCGATGATCACGACTGTGACTACAACGGGGCTTTCGTCTACCGCGACGGTGACGTCGACAACGAATAAGAACAACAGTAAGCCGACATGGCCGTTGCTGTATCCTGCTCCAACTGCTGCTTGCTATGTCACTCTGATTGCTCATTCTTTCACATCCTGCCCTCCCGTCCCTACCTTCCTCTTATCTCCTCCCCTTCCCACCCCACCACCCCCCTTACCTCATCCCCCTCTTCCCCCACCCCTCGTCCCACCTCCCGTAAAACCCCCCTTGTGTTACTGACTACCCGCAGCATCTACCGGTAGCACCTCGACTTCCTCCTCCTCCACCTCCTCCTTGATTCTCGGCAGCGCGGTTTTTAACGACGACAAGTATAACTACGCCGTGGGGCTTAACGACTGCGGCCCGCCCAACGACGTCACCTGCAGCGACGCGCCGACGACCTCCACGGGCCGGCTTAGCCGATACGTGGTACGTGCTTGCGCGCTTGCGAACTTGCAGCTGCTTTCTATGGCCGCCTTGTTGCTACCAAACCCCCTCTGATACTTCTCCCGTGCGCAATATCCTCGTTCCTTTCCATCGGTGAGTAACCACCACTTCCGCAATCTCCTCCCTCCCCTTTCCCCCAACTTCCCTCGCTGCAGATCCCCAATGGCGGGCGGTGCGCGGGCGCAGTTGCGCCGGTGTGCGCGGGAGGGGGACTCACGTCGGCGGATTGCGCAACCGCATGCGCCAACATGGTCAACTGCACCTTCTGGCAGCACTTTCCCCCGTAAGCATCCCCCTCCTTTCCTACTTTCCCCCTTGCCTCCTTGTCCCCTCCCCTCGCCCTTTACCCGGCTTATCAGCTTCCCCTATACCTCCCATTTTCCACTTTTCTTACTCTCTACTCCCTTATCCTATTATCCCAAACCCTGACACATTATCCCTTACTTCCCACCCCTCTCCCCACCCTTCCATCCCGTACCCCACCTCCTCCTTCCCACTCTTTCTCACTTCTTCCGCCTCCTCTCCACGCCCGCCCGTGCAGCCCTGAAGCGACCCAGTGCACCAACTGCGGAGTGTGCTTCCTCTACCAGCCCACGGACCCCGCGCCCAAGTGCCAGACGTCCATGATCTTTGCAGGAGGCATCAACCGCCTAGAGGCCAACGTCTCCAGGCTCGGCCGACCCTGCACCGTCAAACAGCCGCCGCCGCCGCCTCCCCCCTCTCCCCCGCCTCCCCCTTCCCCGCCTCCTCCGTCTCCTCCTCCCCCGTCCCCCCCTCCTCCCACCCCAACCGCGACCATTCTGTGGAACGACGGCAAGTACCCTACTACGGGCGTGACGACGTGCACGGCTCCTCTGGACATTCCGTGCACGGACAACTGCACGGACAACAGCGGTCTGAATGGTCGCTACTTCGTCCCCAACGGCGGGCGCTGCGGCACTAACTTGACTCCCCGGTGCTTCGGCAACGCCGTTCTGCGCCGGCAGTGCTGCGCGGCGTGCACCAACTCGACCGCGTGCTCCTTCTGGCAGCACTACATCCCGTCGTCGCTCTCGTGCTCCAACTGCGGTATCTGCTACCTGTACAAGCCCACGGACGCGCAGCCCACTTGCGAGACGCGCACGGTGGTGGTCGGCGGTGTGACGCGCACGTATGCGAACGCGTCGACTCTGGGCCGCCCGTGCCCGTACACGAAGCACGACCCGCACTTCCGCGGCGCGCACGGCACGCGGTTCGAGTTCAACGGCGCGCCGGAGAAGTCGTACTGCCTGCTGACGGACTCGAGCCTGCACGTGAACATGAAGATGCGCGGGTACTATGACACGCGCACCATTGGCGCATCTCTGCTGCGCAACGGGCTGGCGGTGCGCACGTGGATCCGCGAGCTGGGCTTCGTGTGGAGCGTTGACGGTGTGGAGCACTCTTTCCGCCTGGCGGCGCGCAACGGCAAGTCGGACAAGCGCGACAACGGCTTCCTCTCGCTCATCGAGTTCGACGGCCGCGTCCTCCCCTCCCTCGAGGTCAGCGAGCTTGCTTTGTCCCTTGTCCCATCTCGCTTCTCGCTCTTCGTATTCCTCTTAATTTGTTTATATCTTGTTCCTTGCACTAACCCTTCGTTCCTTTCTTTATCTCTGTCTGTTCTTGCAGCCCGGTGAGTCGTACAACGTGGACGGCGGGCTGGCGTTTGTGTTCAAGGGGTACGAGCAGGAGGGCGGCGGATTCTTCGATGTGGACGCGTACTCGCTGCGCATCGGCGACAAGCTGGCCATGGACATCAAGCTGAGGCCCGCGCACCCGCTGCTGCAAACGCCCGACGACGCGCAGGTGCACCTGAACGTCAACTTCAAGCACGTGTCGCGCTCCCCGTCGGTGCACGGCATCATGGGACAGACGTACCGCGAGGGCCGCGCCGAGCGTGCCATTGACTACGCCATGCTGTCGCGGCTGCTGCGCACTCCCTTCTCTGCCGACGGCGACAACGGCCAGGGCTTCCTGGACGGCAAGTCCGCCGACTACGAGACGTCCGGAGTGCTCTCCACCGACTGTGGCTACTCCGCTTTCTCCAAGTAAAATGGACCCTTCGAGGCATGAAGGCTTCTAGAACGATGAAGCTTGCTCTTTGTAATTGTACTATGTATGCTTGTTTGAAGCTGCCTTTATTTGTAAGAACAATTTGTTTCTCCGTGTCCACATCCTAAATGTCGAAAAATAATTATCCCCCTTGCCGTTTCGGCATTGTGCAAGTGGCCTGTGTTTTATACCTTGGTAGTGATTAGGTATCAACATTGCTAACAAAATATTTCTTTCGATACGTAGCTACATTCACCTGATTGAGGATTATACGTTTCCGAAAGTAAAAATGCGTCAGTTTTCCAGCTTGCATGCTTGTTACGCCAGTAAAGTTCCCTGCCTCGTTTCTAGGATCTGTAAAATGTACCGTATCATCTGCAATGATTCATGAATTGCAGATGCTGCCGCCCAGAAGCACATCGTTGTTGTAACGATCGCCCCTAAGTTTTTGGGTCGATCTCCAGCGATCAATGACCAGTCGCATTCCCTGACTGTGCACAATATTTTGACAAAACTCCCTTTGTAGCATGGTTACAAACAAGTAAACCGAGTAATCAATCCGCATGCCAATCGCGACAGACGATCGATCGTCTACTTTTTCCGCGTCCTTCAATTCTGCTTGCATTTGCTCTAAGATTTGAAACCCCAGCGTTCCTTCATCCGGGTAAACCGGCTGTCAAACTTCCTGTACTGTAGGGCCAAGCGTTCCTCAAACCATGGCTTTCGTTAGCCAGTTCCCCTTCCTGCACAACGTTGCTTTCTTCTTTCGCTGCTATTTCTTCTGTCTTCCCTAACATGTCGTGGCCTTGCAGGTATTTTTGCGGACGATAGAACTATTTTCGCGTTCTCGCCTCTTCGCAACCAAACAACTATTTTCTCCTACAGTCGGATCTTACCTCGCATGTTTGCTGCAGCTTTCCTCCTCACTTAAATCGTCCCCATGTCTCTGCCTGCGTGTGTTGGCAGATCTGCGCCCACCCAGATCATTCTCGTCATCCTTTCCATTTCTTTCAACGTTATCGGTCTCAACGTTCCTCCCTTCACCGTGTTCTTTTCCCAGGTTACCCATGTCTTCGTTCCGCCCGTTGCCTTGCTCACTCGTTTTCCGCACCTAGTGACGAGATGGCCTATTTCTTGGCCCGTTATCTCTATCGACGTCTGCTTCGCTGTACTGCTAAGTGAACGCACGCCTGTTTCTTCAGATTCGCATCCCACCCGTACTGCTACGCCGTATGTTCCTCTTTCTCCGAGCCGCCTGTTCCCCTCCCCACGCCGTCAGATACCCCTCCGGTCCCCTCCTTGTTGTTCCCTCTGCTCTGTTCTCCTGCTGATTTTCCCCTGTGGGCTGTTCTCCCCACACCCTGCTGATTTTCATGGTCGCGCAGAGGGCTGAGTCGCTTGAATACTCCGGTAAGGTTGGAGCAGTGCAGGTACTGCTGACGTGGCAGTAGTTTAGTGAGGAAATGAATTGCCATCTTGGTGGTAGGGCAGTACGTGAGGTCAACCTTGCCTTGGTCAATTTCGTCCTTGACGAAAAAGTATGGAAGCGCGATGTGCTTCGTGCGGTTGATGAACCCTGGCTTGTTCGCGATCTTGATGGCGCTCTGGTTGTCGCAGTGGAGGCGAAAGGTGGGCGAGGTTGAGATTTTCGCTTCCTGCAGCAGCTCTTGTAGGTAAATTCCTTTGCGAACTGCTGCTGTCGCGGCGATGTACTCTGCTTCAGCCGATGACAGGGCAACAAGTTCGTGCTTTTGCGAGTTCCAGGAGATCGGTCTCGTTGGTTCCAGGCGAAAAACGAAGCCGGTTCGTGATCGTCGATTTACAGGGTCAGCTGCATGATCTGCGTCCACGTAACCGTTGAGGTTGAAGGAGGTCGTCGTCAGCGTGGAGTAGGAGAGCCCGATGTCAGGTATTGAGATGAAGTACAGCAGGGCGCGTTCCACATCCAGCTGGTTCTCAGCTACTGGCTTCCGAGATTATTGTGCCAGTTGGCTGGCGATGTACGAAAGGTCGGGTCGGCAGGTGACAGAGGCGAACAGCAGGCACCCCCGTTTCTGCTGGTACATTTGGAGTCCTGCGGGCGACAGAGGTTTGTTGTCCGGTTTGTAGTTGGTGCTTGGGTTGCGGTAAGGAGTTGAGAGTGGTGCGGGTGAAATGTTGAAGCGTTCCCCCAGTTGTTCTGCGTACTTGGAGGCTGACATATGAATTGCTTCTGGCGCGTAATTGATGTTCAGGCCCAGAATTTGCGTGACGCTGTGGTTGATGGTGGTGTCAACGCGCTGTGCTAGGTTCTCCTCGAACTGATTAAGGAGCTCGTTGCAGGTGCCGGTGTACAGCAGGTCGTCGACGTAGACAGTCAAGAGGATGTAATCGCCGTTGAAGTGAAGGCGGTACATTCCTGGTTCGTGCAGCAGCTGCCTGAAGTCGATGTCGAGGAGGATTTTGTGCAAGTGCTGCTGCGAGAGACGCGGCGCCTGTTTTATCCCGTAGAGGGATTTCTTCAGCTGACAGACCCTGGGGTTTCCTTCCCCGTAGGTGTGTAGCTGCTCCACGAAGATGGTTGCATCCACCTGCGCGTACAAAAACGCGTTCTTGACGTCGATCTGCCACAGTGGTAAATGCTTGGCAGCGGGAATGGCGAGTAGAATCCTAACGGAGGTGTGACGGCTGACGGGAGTGAAGGTTTGATCGAAATCAATGCCTTGGCGCTGGTCGTACCCGCGTACGACCCAGCGTGCCTTCAGCTCGATAGTACCGTCAGCGTTGGTTTTAAGGCGAAACACCCACTTTCCACTTAACACCCTCCTCCCCTTCACTGCTGCACAGTCGACTAGGACCCATGTGTCGCGTGATATGTAAAATTTTTAAATACAATTTTCAAAATTTAAAGATTATGACAAGACTTGTAAAGGATTATGCAGTAAGGAGTCATCTGCTCCTTATCTCGTGGCAGGTCCACAGACCTGCCACCTAGTCGAATCATTTCTAGATCTGAATCTAGAACAGCACACCTAGGGAACTTTTCCACCCTCCTAGACTAACTCGCCCGCCATTGCTGCTACCTCGTACATGACGAGAACTTCGTACATGCTGCTTCTACGAATGAAGCGATATCTGCTGGAAGTTTCTGCAATTGCAAGTACAAAAATCGTTTTTTGTATGGCAAAATCATAATATACACTGCTGATACATCTACGTGCAACATACTGCGCGGAACATATTGCCGCTGCTTCTACCAGTGGCGATCTTCCTCGATACTGCTGCATAGGAGGTGTTCGTTTCGGCGGCTGCGGTCGTTGCGACCTCTTGGAGCTGGCGATGCTGCTGCAGCGACTATGACTGCTGCTGCTGCCGGGACGGTTGCTGCTGCTATGAGACGAGCCGCTGCTGCTTACGCTGCGCATGGCGAGACAACGGCTGCTGCTGTTGCGGTTGGAACAAACTCACGGTGGCATGTGGCAAGACCGCTGCAGTTGCGGGTGTCCTATCGCTACTGCTATCCTGTTATCTGCTGCTGATGCATGATCGCTACTGCTGCTGCGCATGAATCTTGCTGGAGCTGCGAGATCGCCGCTGCTGCTGCTGCTGTGCGATCAATGTTGCCGCTGCTGTGCGCTGTTGCTGCTACTGTGCGATTGCTGCTGCTGCTACTTCGCGATCGCTGCTGCTGTGCGATCGCCGCTGCTGTGAGATCGCTGCTGCTGCTGCTGCTGCCGCGCAATCGCTGCTGCTCCTGCTTCGCGATCGCTGCTGCTGTGCGATCGCTGCTGCTGTGCGATCGCCACTGCTGTGCGATCGCTGCTGCTGCGGCTGCCGCGCGATCGCTGTTCCTGTGCGGTCGCTTCTGCTGCTGCGCGATCGCTTCTGCTACGGCTGCCCGATCGCCGCTGCTACTTCGCGTTCGCTGCAGCTACTCCGTGATTGCTGCTGCTGGGCACGATCTGCGCTGCTGGCGCGCGATCGCCTTTGCTGGCCTGCGATCGCCATTGCTGGTGCACGATCGCCGCTGCTAGCGTGCGGTCGCTGCTGCTGCCTCAATAGCGCATCTGCTGTGGCGTGATTTGCTGGTGCTATCGAGATCGAGATGGTGCTGCTCTGCCTGACGACACAGCAGCTACCACAGCTATGAGGGACGAGAAGTTGCCCTCGCTGCTATGTGCAAACTGAAATTGCAGTTACTGGTGTAACTCTTGATTTGGTGTTAAAAGATTGTGGTGGCCTATAAGATTATGGCCTTAAAAAAAAAAAAAAAAGACAAGGCCCAAAGAAGATTATGATTCAGTGTAAGGGCCAGAGCATGACACTTGCAGTATTGTGTCGTGCAGCATAAGAGGCCGTCCGCGTGCATCATTATGTCTGAATTAATATGCGGTATGCCGGATTTGTACGCCTCATAATAATTAGTAACGCGTTCTTCCCCTATTATGGGATGTGAAGCACTTAACACGCTTCTACCGTACCTTCTATTGGGACGCACACCCGTTTCAATTACGGCGATGGATTTTTCTGCTGGCTAAATCGCAAACTTGCAATGGTTGGACAATAGTGTCGACTTTGTTGTCGAGCATATGCGTACTTACGCTGAAAACTGGTGATATCACCGCGCATCCAAAAAAAAAAAAAAAAAAAAAAAAAAAAAAAAAAAAAAAAAAAAAAAAGGGGGGGGGGGGGGGGGGGGGTACGGGTACCCTGAGGGCCGTGATAATGAGGCATTTCCAAAGTAATTTTGCCATCTACGGTACCATATCTCTCAATTATTCGGCGCCTTAATGCAGAAATTGCCAAAACTACGTGGTCGAGTTCAATTCAACCCTTGCTGCCATTTCAACATTATGATGTGTTTTTCCGTAAATGGTAACACTCCCTTCCTAAGCTATCGCTCGGACGTACCACCACTCCTCATAATTATGGCGCTGAAGTGATTCGGCTGACTGTGACGCAAACGCGCACATCGTTTACGCAATTGTCGAGTACTTGTTGTCATTCAGTTGGCGCTATAC